ATAGAAATAAATTTATTAAATTGAAATTTATGAAAATATTTGTGAATATTCGATCTATGTATTCCATTTTTTCCAATACAGAAAATTGTATATAAAATTAAAATATTTCAATAACAATTTAAAATTGGTGACTCTTAGACAATGTTCTCCTTCGATGGGATTCCACCTTGCCGTGGTGAAGGGGCTGAAGTAGAGTCAATGTTCTTAAGAGCGATGTCGGCGGATACCACGACTCTGTAGTGTCTGGCAGGTGCAACCATGCCGACAAGGTCGTAAGTGAGACCTGAAAACCAAGAGAATCTCCTGGGCATGAAGTAACGGCATAAGCTTACCTTCAATATGTTCTCCCCCCCAATCCAATGGTGTTACACGACCCGTGCCTAGTGGACTAGTTGGTAGCCGAGGGGTATACTACCGCGAACGGAGTCTCTCTGATACCGGGTCATCTCAGAGAGTATTTTTGACCTTACTACGTCATGCGAGGCTCTGGCGTAGCGGACTACCCTTTCCCTAGCTATTCGTGCGACCAAAACATGAATGGAACAAACAAAACAAACAAAACAAAGAAAATAGAAAAATCGATACAACGGGAAAACACCGTCATGGTCCGGGGTCAACCGGACATAATAAAAAAGGAGAAGGTTGCAAGGGAAATGGAGACTAACCTCCGTGATACTCCTTGCAATAACGAAAAAGGGAGGAACGGCATGGAGGAAAGTCGGAGCAAGCCCTCCGCATCCTCGCAGGCTACCGATGTGGGGCGCAAGCCTTCCGGGATGCACCGTGGGGGCAGAAGGAGGAAGCCCTCCTATCTGCCATCACTGGGTCAGCCTGGAGGCTTGGATGATCCGAGGAGACGAGTACCTCTACTGGCTCCGGGGGGCAAGCGTGGACGTGAGTCCTTGACACCCCAGAAGAGCAGGCCAAAAGAAGGAAGACGGCTGAAAGAAGGTATATGGGAATTCACTCGATAACCTCCACCTCGAAAGCGGAACCGGGCCCTAGCTATGCCACGGCCGCCAAAATTGTGAAGGTGGTAGTTCTGTCGAGGGAATACCCCTCCATTATGCTGATCCAGCAGGAGCTCACCCAGCTGGAGGAGGCGATAATCGACGAGGTAGCCAAGGGCTGGGATAACATCATCCGTTTTGAAGGAATACACTTCAGGTCTGGGATGGTACTCGTCGATTGTGCTGATGAGGAGACAGCTGAATGGCTGATTAAACAAGCGCCAGTTCTGGGTATATGGAGCGGACCAAAATTGATGGCAAGGAAGGGATATGACATCCCAAAGCCTTGTGTAATCACTGTCTTCGTCCCCAGGAGCGGGGGCCAAGCCTGAAAAAAAACGCTGGCCATCTTACAGGCGCAAAACGGGGGAATACATACCCGGGTCTGGAAGCTGATGGGGCAGCGGGGAGAACGGTGGCGGAGAGGTTCTCCGAATAGGGATCGATAACTCTTCCGCGGAAGCCATCAGGCGGGGTGGTCACATTCTGCGGTACCGGTTCTAGGAGGGTCTTTCCGAGACGCCCCGGATGAGGGGCGCCCCCCTTCATTAACGACGAAGGAGATGGTGGAGGACCTGGAGCTAACTCTTCTAAGTCTGAGGGAGTCCTTCCCAGAAAATGACGTCCCGATGGCAGGGGACAACAAATAAGGGACGAAGGCACCAGGGTCGCCCAGGTGAATGTTCACCACGCAAGAGCAGCTTCGGCTGTTCACCAAGGAATATCTGGGCATAGCCATGGTACAGGAGCCCTGGGTATACACGGGGCACCTGTACCATGGGATCACGTGCAAGGGATTTCACAGATGCACCTTGGTGGACCTCGCGATTAGAAAACCTAAGAGTCGGGGTTCGCAGGCTTTTCAATAAAGCTAAGCGAGAAGGTACTTGGGAAGAGTACAAGATGAACCTGACAGCCTACAGGAAGGAGATCCGCAGGACTAAGCGCAGAAGCTTTAGATCATTCTGCGGGACAATAGCGGAGATGCCGGCGGCTGCGAGGCTGCACAGGGCCCTGGCTAGAGACAGGGTGCCAGTGAGTGCTTCTTTAAGGAGGCCGGATGGCGGCTACACAGAGAACGAGGAGCAAAGGGCTCTTCTCCTCCTGGAGGCGCATTTGAGGCCACGTCCTCAGGATTGGCGGAGAGCTGCGCGCATAATTACGGAGGAAAGGATAAGATGGGCTGTTGGCACTTTCCAGCCCTTCAAGGCGTCGGGAGTGGATGGGATTTCAACAGCACTTCTGCAACGGGGGCTGGAACCAATTATGCCTTTCTTAATAAGAATATTTAGGAGTAGCTTGGCTCTCGGATACATTCCCGAGTCCTGGCGGGTGGCTAGGGTTGTCTTTATTCCCAAAGTGGGAAGAGGGGACATGGTGCCCAAGTCATTCAGACCGATTAGCCTCACTTCGTTCTTATTGAAGACGATGGAGAAAATAATTGATAACCATGCCCGGGTGGGGGTGCTGGCGAGGAGGCCGCTGAGCGATTGCCAGCATACATATCGGGCGGAGAGGTCAACAGAGACTGCTCTGTTTTGCCTTGCCAGTACCCTAGAAAGCACAACAGAACAGGGAGGGGTGGCGCTATGCGCGTTCCTGGATATCGAGGGGGCCTTCGACAACACTTCTCATAAGGCGATTTCGGGCGCCCTGAGGCGTAGAGACGTGGATGATGGCACCTCTCTATGGTTGTCCAATATGTTGGCTACGAGGGTAGCAGAGACTGCCGTGGGGCAGAGCACCCTAAGAATTCACGTGACCAGGGGATGCCCACAGGGTGGGGTTCTGTCCCCGCTAATGTGGAATTTGGTGGTGGATGAACTCCTTGATGAGCTGCTTCGTCAGGGAATTGGTGTCCAGGATTATGCCGATGATATAGTCATCATCGCTAGAGGTAAGTTTGAGGGAACTCTTTGTGATATAGTGCAAAGGGAATTACGGGTGGCCCGGGCCTGGTGCGATACTGTGGGCCTCAGGCTTAACCCTGACAAGACGGCCCTGGTGCCTTTCACTAGAAGAAGGAAGCTGGAACATCTGCCCACAATATACGTGTGCGGAGCGGCTGTAAAGAGAAAATCGGAGGTCAAACACTTAGGAGTGGTGTTTGATTCCAAGCTTCTTGGGCGAAGTCACGAGGAGGCTGTGTGTTTACGGGCAACTCGGGCACTTATGGTTTGCAAGGCCATCTCGGGCAGGTCGTGGGGCTGCTCCCCGTCTGTCATGTGGTGGATGTATACCATGATGGTCGTGCCGCTCCTAACTTATGAAGCAGTGGAATGGGCAAGAAGGGTAGCTCTTGGTACGGCTAGAAGGAACCTGGAACGATTGCAGAGACTCGCATGCGTCTGCATCACAGGTGCTATGAGAATTTGTTCAACGGCGGCAATGGAGGTGATTTTGGGACTAACCCCCTTGCACCTTGTTGTGGAGATGGCAGCGAAGGCTGCCATTTTCAGATTGGGGAGAAACGGAGCCGGAATAATCGGTGTGAGAGATCGGGGTCGTCTTGTCGAGGAAGTTGCGCTCCTCTCGATGCCTGGGGACGACATGGTAAGGAGGTACAGCTTCGAGAAAAATTTTGCTTCGTTGCTGAGAAACAGAAGGGACTAAGAGCGTGACTTTTCGGGTCTCCCAGTTGGAACCTATGGGAACTTTTCCGAAAGGGGGTACCAGGGAAAGGAAATAATGATTATGTCGGATAGCCGGGCTGCGATCGAAGCGCTGAACTCGTTTTCAGTATCCTCCGCGGCAGTATGGGGCTGTCTTGAGAAGCTCAATGAGTTAGGCAGATGCAACCGGGTCACACTGTGTTGGGTGCCGGGCCATGTGGGCGTGGAAGGAAATGAGGCCGCTGATGCGCTTGCGGGGAAGGGGGCAAACACACCTTTTCTTGAGCCGGAGCCCTTCTGCGGGATCGGACCACATACTATTCGTTGGGAATTAAGAAAGGAATCAGAAAGAAGGCGGCCGGAGCGCTGGAGAAGTCTTTCGGGGCTTCGGCAAGCCAAAGAGCTCCTGGGAGATTATGACCAGAAGCGATTTAAGAAAATTATAGGGATAGGCAAGAATCAGGTGAGAGTCCTCACCGGCATTTTGACGGGTCGCTGCAGGCTTAGGGGACACCTCAGTCGGCTGGGCCTGAAAAATCAGGATGCTTGCAGATTCTGTGGGGAGTATGGAGAGACTTCAGTGCACCTCCTGGGGGAGTGTGATGCTCTTGCTCGTAAGAGGGGGGAGGTGCTGGGAGGCTTTGCTCTAACGGTGGTGGAGTTACGGTCTTCCGGTCCTCACAAGTTGCTTGAGTTCATCAGGAGGGTCGGTCTCGAGCGTGTGTTGTAGGGCATGCCCCGCACTCGGGTGGAGGCGCACAATAGATCCTTATACGTGGTCGCGGTGCATTATTGCCCCCGCTGTACAAATCTACAAATCTACAATCTAGACAATGTTGCAAATTTTAAACAAAATGAGTGATTAAAGAACAAAAAAGCGCACTCTGTTATTTCCCTTAAGAAGTAAAGAAGGTAATAACCAAAATTTTTAATAGGTCTTATCAAGGTACGATTTAAAGTTACAATAAAAAATTTAAACTTTCTAAAAGTTTTGTTTAATCTCAAATTATGTAAAAAGCTAAAAAAGTTCAACCTTTATCCTTAATTTTAAGAAATACTTATAATTTTCTAAGACTTAATTTTATAATTGGCAATAAATAAGCTTCCTCATTTACGCTAAGGACAACACTAAATAAGCAAATACGACATTCAAGTAGGACATGCATGAGCAAGCATACTCGTATATGAAAAGATGTCTATAAATTTGTAACTTTTATTTAACGAGAAAATTTTTGGTTGCATTTCTGTTTTTTGACGCTTTGTCTGTCTTTAGGGAATTGCAGGGTGTGAAAGTGCCACGTGCAACACTTTCGAACTTAATATGAAAATAATTATTTAGATGATTTTATTCGACTAATAAAATAAGGAGTTAAATTACCTCCAAGTCCTGGTCGTATACTACTTTCATAACCATCTAATAAATTATCAAGTAATATTGAAATATTTGCATTTTTTGCTGTTTTCCATCTTGATTTTTCACTAGATGATGATGATGAACCAGATTTAAGACGATTACGTTGTTGTTGTCTCATTTGTTGTTGTTGACGTTGATGATGTGTTTGTGATAAATATGGTTTTTGCATCATTTGTCCTATTGCTGTACCAGCATTAACACCACATAAAATTGATGTTTGTTTTATTGTAAAATATGAAAAAATTTCTGTTAATTCATTAAAATTAAATTTAAATAAATAATAATCATTTAATGATTCAGTTGTTGTTATTGTTGTTAATAATTGTTGTTGTTGTTGCAATTGTTGCTGCTGTTCTTGTTGATTAAATTTTAATTCGTTATTAATATTAAATTTTATTTTATTTCTAATTATTTTTATATTATCAGCAATTAATATTATACAAATGCTTAATAAAAATTTGACTAACATTTTGGCATGATTAAGCCACACAACAATTAAAATAATTTTTTCTATTTTATTTGAATATTTTTTTAATTTAATATTTAATAATTTAATTAATGATCGTCCTTTTATAATAATTCTTTCATTTTTAAATATTATTTTGTTATTTTTTCTAATTTGGATTTTTGTTTCATTTTTAAAATAATATTTTATATTTAACACAAACACAAAAATATATTTTATTATTAATTTATTATTGTATTCCCTGTCAAGGATCATTTGAATGCACTATATATAAACAAATTATTTTTTATTTCTCTAACATTGTATGTATATATGTATGTATGTAATTTTTAAAATTATTTTGTATAAAATAATTTCATTTTATTTAAGTTTCTATATCTGAAATTTCTATTGACCCGGGTATTTTTACAAAATTATTCCAAATACTTTAATATTAATTTATTTTTAAAAATATTAAACAAAATTTTTATGTTGCTCTCATTTTATTAAACTAAACTTTCCATGATCTAATTTTTATTATTCATTCAATTTTTGAAAAATTAGCTTTAGTATACTTTGTGATTTTTGAAATTTTATAAAGTATTCCATGTTATGTCAGATTGCACTTTAATTTTTTTTTTTTAGCGTAAATTAAAATGATATAAACAATTTTTATTTAAAAAAATTAAAAAATAGGAAAATAAAATTTTGGATGCTCTTAAGCACATTTATAATAAATTACAAAAAAAAATGTGATTATCAATTTCGGTTCGTCCGTCCATTCGTCAATATCCGTATTTAAGTTGAGAAACTATTTCCTCTTAAAGTTATCGCTCTGAAAAACGCCAATTTTTGTCAGAATATTGTTGGTAATTACAAATACTTTCAAATTACGTAAGCGATTTTAATTTGTCAGACTGATGACTGATGTTCTTTCATCAAAGTTAGTATTTAACGTTTAACAAATTAAAACAGAAAAAGAAAACATTTTTAATTTTATCAAATTCAATTCGAATCCATTATAGCAAATAATTTAATAAAAAACTAATTAATTCAAAGAAATTCAAAAAGCAAAATTCAGAAAACTTTCTTAAATAACATTTATTAATTAAATATACTTAATAATATATATTTTATAATATAAATATAAAGTTTTGGCGCAGAACATCGAAATGTAACATGTGCTTGTTGTACATGGAATTGAATTCTACTGGAATTCTTAATAGACACATTATGTATGTAATTATTTTAAAAGTAATTTAATTACAAATTCAGGAAGTAACTTCCTCCTACCAACATCCTTGTGAATTAATCAATTATTGATATTTGAAATTATTTTAAAAATTATGATAAATTTTTCTGTACACTTACTGAACAAATGGATTGTAACTATACAAACAAAGACACATTACGAGTATGTAGCTCTATATAATGACAAATAAATTCAAATGAAGACAATTTATTATTATTTTGCCATTTTGCTAAGTAGGAAAGCCTTCATCCTTATTATCTATTGCCATATAATTCTTTACTTTTATGACATATTGAATGTTGTGTCAAAAATTTTGCCTTATAATATTTTCCAATTTTGATTTTATAAAATTGAATCCAATTTTCTATTGGGAATTTTATTTGAAAATCAATCGATTTTAAATTTATTTCTTTACATACTCAAGCATATCGAAAAATTAATCGAATAAATTAGATATAAATTGGAAAATTTAATAAATTTCAATCAAGATTAAGGTAGCTTGTTAAGCAATTTAATATTACTCTCTTCTCCGGAGCTTGAATTATACTAACTATAGCAATATCTCTTACAATGAGAAACAAGGTATTCTGTATTAATTTACAGGCATTATTATATTGTTAAGATTGCCTATTTTAGCTTCGTTGCCTGGTTAAATCGACGTGGCCGGTGCGGCAAGTCCAGCGCTTCCCAAATAGAACAAATTTGCCGTCTTTCTCCCACCAAAGATGGTCTAGCTAAAAGAGCTAGTTCCTTAGAAGAATTAATCTACATTTCCGATGCCAATCTTCAATATCAATTCCAGCGCCGTCACACTTGTTCTGCCCCACATGACCAGTCTGAACTTGCTCAGAGCCGGACACTCGCAGAGATAGTGAAAAAGAGTCTTTTTCTTATCCGGCAGCTGGGGCACGTCGTACTAAAGGGCAACCCTAGCCTAGTCGCGCAATCCCCCTACGATCAATGTAGGGACCGTGTAAGCTTCCGTCGGGCCAGCAATGCACCCCTCTCCTGAGACTTCACCAAAAGCCTTCCCGATTTCCTAAGGACGTATTTTAGGCACTTTTTTTCTTGCCGTTCCGAATGTAGACATGGATTTCTACATTCGGAATTCGGCACTTTCTAAAATATAAGAAACTTTTTGATAAAACCCGAAGAACAGTTTCAGCGCGTTATTTTACCTTAAAAGATCAATTTAAAGGTAAAACTTATTCCCATATCATATTTGATTAAGTGGAATCTTTGATTACTGCCTTCATGCCAGTATATTGGCAGAGTAAAGAATTCATTCAATTCAATTTTCCTAGATTTCGTCATAGGCTTAATAATAAAATACTTATAAAAAAAATCTCTTCATCTCGAAATTTTATTAAAGAATATAGCTAATTAAAATTTTATTATATAATCACTTAATCCATTTTAATATTCCTCATAAATATGAAATTAATACACATTATGTATGTACATAAAAGCACAAGGAATTTTTAAGCTTCATTAATAAAAAAAAAGTCATCGTTGAAAATCAATAATTTTTTTTCACAGATTAACTGTTAAGAGTGCGTCATAAATCAAATATAAAAGTATAATCGACTTATAAAAGTTCTTCAAATGGACATTCATAATCTATTCGAACGTATTATTTTCATTAAGGATGAAAAAATAGTCCTCCTCCTAAATATACTCTCTATGCCTTTTTTTGATGACCATATTTTGATGGTAAATGTCCAAGTCAATATAACTAATAAATTTTCCAATAAATATACTTCCAATGGCCACAAAATATTTCAATTATCATAAAAACAATAATGAAGAAAAATAACAAAAAAAATGAGTAAGTGGCTTTCTAAACTCTAAAATAAGCTAAAAAAAAAACTGCCTAATGCTCTCTTGATGATAATTTCGTGATTTTCAGTCTACTCACAGACAACAAAACCGAAAAATTCTTTGATGTGATCTAGTAGAGAATGGTCATATATTTCCTTTTTTTTCTTCTTGTTGTTGTTTTCATTCTTGCTTGGAATTTTTATATCATTACCTTTGATTTTATGCTTCTACATCTGAAACTGAAAATGAAAGTTTAAGTAAATGTGTATGACGTAGTGTGGTAAAATGTAGGACATTTATTGAAAGGATATTCATTGTGAGTATGTATATATATGTATATATAGATATTGGACATAAAATAGGCAATATCACTTTAACATCACTCCAATTATTATGACACCACCACATAATATTTGAAATTTTTTAATGTGACACTTACCCCAAATATACGCTTGTACATACATATATATATGCATGGATTTGTCTAAATAAATCACATATTTTAACAATATAATATAATATGTGCATTATATGTATAAGTTCAGACACAAATTTCATTGGATTAGACAGACATGTCGAATGTTTTAACGATTTTTTTATGATTGTGAGGAAAGAAAGAGCCTTAAATACAAAATGTTGTACTGATTGAAGACTTGAGCACGTACGCTTTTAATATTACAATATTATTATGTATTAAAATTATAATTATGTTCTGATAGATATAGAAAAATCATACTTACATTTTCATTGCATAGACAAACTGCAATCTACAATAAGTTATTGTTTATACCTATATATGTATGTACGTACATATATTCATGTTGTATGCATAATTATTACAGACTATATCTATACTAAACTATATAATTTTTTATTAGTTATCATTGACATAAAAGTGGTAGACTAGTGCATGCATTTAAAAATTTGTGTATTGTTGGCTTTTTTTTTATATACGAGTATCAATATAGAAAGTTAAAAATTCGAATAAACTTAATGTATACATTTTCACAGGAGTCTGGGACTTTCACGTCCAAAACGGTCCTAGATTGTAGATCCCCGAGAACTTGGGCCACCCACAAGCTGCTACTGTGCAACACAACGGTGGAATGGGCATCCCCAGATGGCATGGAACAATGTGCAGCGCGATAAGGAAGTTGTGGTCAAAGTTAGACATACGTCGCACAAGGGATTCGATATTCCTTCGTAGAGAGGATATGGGCGGACGTCTTACCTTTTTCAGCGGGCTACGGAGTTAGCAAATGTAAAAACTGAAAACCTTAACTGATTTCTGAGGAACTCTTGCTTGCCTGCTTCCAATGGAGAAGAAGGAAGTTATCTAGCGGGAAAAAAACGGACATAAACGTCTCTTTTAATAACTATACCCTTCGGAGTTTTGCATCAACCTAACCTAATCTAATGTAAGTAATAAAAGTACATGTTAAGTCTAAGTCTATAAACAATTTCTGAATATATGAAACAATGTAAATGTGAAGTCGAAAATGACAAACCGTTTTTTATGAAACAAAATATCAAAACAGAATTTCAAAAACAATTGATGAGGAAGAGGACTTCAATAACATACAATGATACAAATACGAAAAAAAAGAGTGTATTAAGTTTTCTTCTAAGAAACAAAGTTCTTTTGCTATATAAAATTTATTTGTCTACGAACTGATAAATAACGGTTCGAGTGAAATTAATAAGCACAATAATTTTTCTACACAATTTTACCAAAAATATTTGTATACGGCACATACTTCCATAAATACATTATGATATTACCAAATGTGAAAGTTTTTTAATTAAATTCTAAATAGCAGAACTTACTTTGAAAATTAATTACAAAAGGATTAACAAAATTTGTAAGATGTTTTTTTTTAAAACACCTTTACCAACAAAATTTAATATTATGATATTTTTAACTCTTATTCTTGAATTTTCTATAAATATCACACTTTAACAAAATATTATGAATTTAATTTGAATTTATAGTACTATTCCCTTAGTATGGTACTACTCAATTAGAGAGTTGTCAAAAATTTCATTTTGGTACATACAGAAAGAAAACAAGTTTTAGCTGCCTCTGTTTAATGCCATAAATGAATTATTTTGTTTTCAATTTAATTAAGTAGTTTTCTACTTATATTTAAATACGAGTATAACATCAAAAACATGAAAAAATCTTAATTAATTTGTGCTTTCATAATTGTGTAAAATGACACACAAGCATTTAAAATGACTTTTTTATGATTCTATCATAGAATTTTTTTAAAATTAAATTCTTAATTTAAACTTATTTGGAAAATCGTTAAAAATCCTCAAGATTTTATATAAT